GGGGGGGGGGTTGGGGAGGTGTCAGTTTCTGCTCTTTGGGGCTGTTTAGTCCTGGTTTCTTGTCTGCAGTGGCTGTAGGGTGGAAGGGAGCCAAGGCAAGGCAGAGAGAAATTCATCTCTAGGTGTTACAGGCTGGGAGGCAGTGAGGGCTGGGCCTCTCCATCAATGGGGACTTTGTTCCTGGGTGCATCCCTGAGCAGAATCCAAAAGCAAGATGTTCTGAGGTGACAAAGGAGCCTGGGACCCCACCCTTTGACTCAGAGACATCAAGTTTCTAGGAGTCTTACACGCACAAATGCAACAGGGGTGTGTGTGTGTGAGGGCAAACCCTGAAATAATTAGGTTGTAAAAAGAGGGGAAAAGCAGTAAAAGAAGCCAACTAGTAACTATAAAGATGTAAAGGGCCAAGGCCAAGCAACTCGCATCCCAGGAGGAGGGGGAGGTGCAGAGGGGTTGACCGGGTTTGGGGAATACCCAGGACCCAGGACGGGAGGAAGGGGTGTGTGGAGGACCGATCCCTCTGAGGAGGGGACAGAGGGCAAAGGGGAGGAAGGAGGGAAAGTGTGGGGAGGGTACAGAGAAAGTGGCAAGGTAAGAAGGGGAAGGAGCGGCCCAAGAGGCTGCGTCCCTGTCTGTTTGTGATTAGCACGCAGCCGGTGCAGAATGGAGTAAACAGAAACTTCTAGGCGTCCCCCCACCCCCCTCCGAGGCGAAGCAGAAATCAGATGCTCCAGGATTAATCGCGGAGAGTTCAGGACACGACCACAAACGCTGTGCGGACTTGAAACTCGCTGCCTTTCCCAGTCCCCTTGCCAAGATGGGAGTGGGGGGTGGGACGTGAAGGGGTGGGGACCCCGCGTGCTGGGGGCCAACATGGAATTCTCCCAGGCAGAGCTCCGAGTGACACTGACAGGCAATCGGCCGCGTCCAGAGCAGCAGGCAGCATCCGGGGGAGCGGGACCCGCTGGGGGCGCCCCAGGCAGGCTTCCTGGAACCCCGGCTCCACAGCCGCCTGCACCCTGACACAGGCCAGATAAGAGCCGGCTGTGCTATCAGAGCCCACAGCCCGTCGTCCGCAAAGACACAAAGACGAAGGGGACGGTGGGCTCCCGGGAGGCGAGTCCTGGCTCCTCTCCTGGAGCCCTGCAGTGAATGGGAGCCCAGGCTCGCTACAGAGATCGGCCAGGCTGCTTTGAGGATGGCGTGACCCGGTCTTGAAAGTCCCGACCTGCGGATGGTGAGTGTGAAGCGACCGTTCTGTGCGCGCCGCTGGCCCAGGGGTCAGACTCCAGAGGGAGGTGAGGTGACAGGAGGGCAGCACATTCTCACCCTCCAACCTGGAGCTCCCAAAGTCGGTGAAGGGAGCCTGCGTTGAAGCTAAGATGGCATTGCAGTATCTTGCTGTGTGGCTTTGGGCAAGTTCCTTTCCCTCTCTGGGCCTCTGTTTGTTCATCTTTAAAACTGAGTTGTTAAATGTGGTGATCTTTAAGGGGCTCTTTCTATGACTGCTATTTTGTGTGTGTCTGCTGTGCGCCAGGCACTGTGCTAGGCATTTTGAAACTTTAGCTCAGGGGAGCCCACAATCCCCTGTGGAGTAGGTATTGTTATTATTCCCCTCATAGTACACGGAGCAAACAGAGGCTCAGAGAGGTGAAATGACTTGCCCATGGACACACAGCTGGTCCGTGGCAGAGGTAAGACTCAGATCTCGCTTTTTCTAACTTTACTTTCACTATCTTCCCACCTCCAGTAGCCTGTATTCTGTGTTCTACGAGTCTGTGGTTACCCAGGAAGCAGGGGTGAAGGAGGAGGGAGCACTATCTGGAGGAGGGAGGCAGAGAGGCTGCACAGAAGCAGCGGCTGGCTAAGCAGCCTCTAGCTACCGGGATGGTATGTGAGCCCCGGGAGAGGGACACTGTCCTGGGATGGGCAGGGGCTCCTGATTTGACGGAACAGTGCCCGATGCCATTTGCAGTGTTTGCTGCTCTGTTGTAGGAGGCTCATGGGCGTGAGAGAAGAGGGTTAATATTAGGCAGGGTGGAGAGAGCGGTGGGGTGGAAAGAGTGGCACATGTCTCTACTGGGTTCTGTTCCAATTTTATTTTGCCTTTTCAAAAATGTGTTTCAAATCACTCCGGGCCCCCACTGCTAACTCTGGACGAAACAGAATTGTGAAACACAAACAGTGCTTTCCACATGCCTCCCCCCCCCGGGAATCACACATTAAAATTATTGCAGGCCATTTGCATATGTGTCCCTGCAGCTGTGGCCAGCAGCAGCCAAGAGATAAGAAATAGGCAGCAGGGCCTCGGCAGGTGGGAAATCCCTCGGGTGTCAGGCATCTGGGCAGAGTAGGAGGGCCTGGCACCCAGATGTGGCCTCCTGTTTTCTCTCCCCTGGAAAATTCCATCCCACAGCAGCTCTGTACTGACTCAGACCTTCTGTCCTTTTAGGGACTGGCTCTGCCTTAGGCTCAAGCCGGGACCTAAGTGGTGGTCCCAGCTCTAGTGTGAATAACTTGTCCCAGAAGCCCTTGCAGTCCCAGGCAAACTGGGACGGTTTGTCACCCTATCCATATTACCTGTGCTCCTGAGGTTATTTACATCTATGGTAGCTGTCTAGTGGGAATACTATAGGGTGTCCTCCAAAAATGTATACACACTTTAACAACTAATAGCTGTTAAATTAAAATGAGATGTATTTTAACAAACACTACCTGTAGAATTATTCAAAGTGTGTGTATACATTTTTGGTGGACACCCTGTGTATACAATGGTGTGTGTCTCTTCCCAATTTCATTTTTAGTGATGTCAAGTTGATAGCCTGATACTGGCCACATTGGGAGTATTTATACTTTGCAAATTGGCAAATGAGTACAACACAGGGCTTGACTTACTGTTTTGTTCATTGTCTAGGTTTGAGAAAGTGAGGGAGAAAAAGTTAACGATGCAGATCAAACATAAAAGTCTGTTCTCTCTCTAGCTTACATGGTGAATCCCACCAAAAATCGAGGAAGTCGCTCATTCCATTGACAAACGAGTTACGTTCCGGTGTGCAACTTGTTGTATAACATTGGCCTCACTCCTTAAGGTGAAATTAAACAACAACCAACATTCCTGAGAAACTGCAGTCACTCACCGTTATAACCATAGGTAGACTATAGATAAAAGAATTGAGGGGAAGATCAATGAAAACGTTCTGAGTGAATCAATTGATGATATGAAATTTACAAAAAGGGGTATCATAAATTTATTATTTTATTATTTTT